AGGCCGACAAACACGAGCTGCAATCGTGCGCGGTCAAGAACACCGGACCAAGGAAGCTTGGTGTTAATAATGCCGACGATTAACTACACCGCTGATGGAACGTCGAGGAAATGAACGACGATTAACGTCGAGCAACGTGTTCGATCGTCGATCGGCAACGAGAGATTTATCCGTAATTAAATCGCGATTACCTGCTTCGTTACGTGATTGGCTTCGTTTACGACACGTCGAACGAAACGAAGTATGTTTCGTAGAAACTGTCCTAAATAAATTTAGGGTATAATTCGTTCGACGATTTTTCGTCCCCGTCGAATAAGACGGAATAGAGAGAGGCATCCGTGGAGGCTAGAAGACGATAATTAACATACATTCGCATGCTCTTTAGCCGTGACGCGATCGGTTCCGACGGTTTCGAGAGCCCCGTATTTAGCATGATAAAGCGGGAACGGTTTGGAGAACAGATTCTAGCCAGCCAGCCGGATGCGTTTCCATGCGTGCCTGGCTGGCTGCGTTGTTACCCCAGACATCTCGATTCTATATTCATGTTCCGTTGCACCGCGATTGCAGAGGCTATGGCAGTACGGGAACCCGAAGGAAGTGATCGGACCCCTTCGCGTGGTGCATCGATACGTGAACATGGCGGAACAGACGGCCGAATTCTACAACCAGACCACAGGGAAAACCGAGATGGTAACGTGGAATTATTTTCTTTTTCTTTTTTATTGTTAATTTGATACATAGAAAGTCTTACATATACAATTTATACAGATTAATATATCTATTTTGCTGTTATTTTCATTGTAGTTTGTTGATACGTTAGGTGCACGGCTGTGAACCAGCGATGGGTTACAGTTTCGCGGCAGGTACGATCGATGGACCTGGTTCGTTCGCGTTCGAACAAGGTACAACTACTGGCAATCCCTTGTGGAACACGGTTAGGAACTTGTTAGCAGCCCCTACAGCAGAGGATATTAAGTGCCATGAACCGAAACCAATCCTCCTTGCTACCGGTCGTGTAAGTTGCTTAGGCTGAACCAATATAATCGATGATGTTCGCAACCGGCAAGATTCAAGTTAATTGTAATTGGAATGTAATAGTAATTCATTTCGAATTGACTTGTTAGATGAGGGTACCGTACGAATGGCAACCGAAAATCGTGGCAACGCAAGTGGCACTGGTCGGGAACGTTGTCATTGCCGGCGTACCAGGTGAATTCACAACAATGTCCGGAAGAAGATTGCGAGAGGCTATCAAAACGGTCATGAACGATGCGTCCGACGACGAAACCTCCGTTATAGTCGCCGGTCTCTGTAATACTTACACCGATTACGTCACTACGCCAGAGGAATATCAAGTAAATCATAGATCATCTTTTCGTTCGCCTGTTACTAACCATTTTGAATAATTTATTATCCTTCGCTATAATTCGGCGAAATTAAAATTATCGATCCACCTATTTTTATTCAATTTATTATTTTTTCTTTCTATATGTTAGATTCAAAGGTACGAAGGTGCATCCACGATATTCGGTCCGCATACGTTAACTATTTATTTGAAACAGTATCAAGAACTTGTGACAGCTGCCATTCTTGTGAGTACCCTTATGTGCTCTCAGCTTCAATTTTTCATCGAACTTATTAAATTTGATGCTGTTTCAGAAAAAGAACGTCGACCACGGACCGACTCCTCCTGATCTAAGGAAGAAAAATCTTCTCAGCTTCGTCACACCGGTTCTGTACGACACCCCGAAATGGGGTCAACATTTTGGCGATTGCATCAAGCAACCGCAGAAAATGGTTTTACCTGGAGACGTCGTTACTGCAGTATTCGTGAGTAATAAAGAAATGAATTTATAAGGTATCTGGTCGAAGATCTATGACAGTCGTTTATATTAGACACTGAAGGTGTTAGAGAATAAATAATTTAGCGTGCTTCTTGTAATATCGAATAAGGTAATGATGACCGTGACCCAGTTAGATATTGTGGTCGATAGAGAAACGTTATGCAAAATGTTCTATAATGCAATTGGAATAAAGTGATGGCAACATTTTTAAAACGACACCGCAATGAGTTCACGGTCTATTGAGCGCTGCACTTCGCGAAATAAATGATTTCTATTCGCGATACTTGGTAAATTATTCGAATCAATATATTTTTGATCATTTTTTGATAGAATTGAATATGTGGACAGTTCCTGAATTTATTTTGATCAACAAAATTCATTGTTCAATTTATTACAGAAATATTTTTCTATTGTTCTTTGAAGGTTTCTGGCCACCCACGAAACAATCTGATGACGGAAAGCTCGTTTTTGACGATCGAGAGATTAGGGGAGGACGAGATATGGATTCCTGTCGCCACAGACGCCAGTTGGGAGACCAGGTACATAAAATTTCTGCTATTTTTATTTAAAAAATTTAATTCTTTATCTAGGATAACAATAAAGAATTAAGGAGATTATCAGGAATGCAGTGGAAGAAATTCAAACAGAATATGGAGAATATTGATTTGTAATGTTAGAATCGGAATATAGACAGATAATAATGGTGTTCCCTATCCATTGGTTTACTGTTATCGATACAGATTTGAGTGGAAGAGGACGTCCGTGGTTCTCGGCTCGAGTCAGGTGACCATTACGTGGCACGTCCCGGAGGATATCAAGGATGGTGAATATCGCATCAGGCACAACGGTTACTATCGTTATATCCTTGGTGGAGTTTTCCCTTACTACGGAGTATCGAATCACTTCCAGGTAAATTGAAAATCTCTAGAAAAAGGGAAAGAACAAAGTCAGTCTCGCAACTTCATCATCGATTTGTTCTCCACTCGTCTGAGGTATATGGCCATTCATTCGTACCGGGTACTCGAAATATCCGCGTAACTGGGTTTCTCATAACCTAATCAGGCATTAAATATTCTTTTTGATAATTTCGACAGATCGAGGAGGGAATTAAAACTTAATTAATCATCGAATCAACAGTTTCAGATCAGTTTAAATAACTTGAGCTGAGGATGTGTTAGATTTCAGTTTCATGTGATTTACAATTGAATTAGAAATGCCAAAACTAATAACACAAATTTACATCGTTTCAACATACCTCGTTATCACCGCTAAATTTCGTCAATATTCCTGTGAGTCACGTTACCTTTTTTTATATCGATCGTTCCAGGTTGTAACCAGAGGGTGAAGAAATCGTGGGCCACACATCTATTAATAGAACCATCGTTGGTGTTTTTTAATTCCCCGAACGAGAAATATTTACGCTTAAATTCACGACTGAATCACGGATAATTTGATGGTAGATGCCATACGGTAGCACGAGGGGAATAGAAGAGACGTATCAAACGATCTATTTCTCTTCTCCTTCGATCTTTGTACATACGCTTTATTGTTAGGTACGTTTATGTGTGTGCGTGATCTTTTTCGGACGAACAGAATGATATCGAATGAGTCAGTTGTCCACAGTGATATAGAAATAAACGAGGAATTTATACAAATCACTTTTGCTGCCCTTTCCCATAAAGAGGAACTTTCTGTGGAATAGGTACCTAGTCGATCAATGAACTAAGTTTATGTGGTTCCTAATCGGAATTTTTTTTTCTTTGTAACTGTGATAGAGGAAGAATGGGACTTCCGGTGAGATTTGTTTCTAGAATTTATGGAAGCTTAAAATTGAACACTGATGTGATTAAACGGTGTCGTTCCTCGAAAATATTAAGATTGGTAGAATTAATATGGTTAACTTCGATTCGATAAGAGGGAATTGGAAATGACAAAAATTCTTAATTTTATAAATAATAATCCATACTTTCTGGAAGGAAATAGCAATCGGTATGGAGATCGAATGAAAGGAAGAAGAAAAATCCGATTTTCTTTCGATGAATTAATTCAGTTCGTTCGATTGAATCTCAAGTAACGATTCGAGCATTTACTTCGAGCAAAATCAATTCCAGGAAAGGTGGATGTTAATCCCAGGATTGTAAGACTGTTCCTTCGATATTTTTTGTTATGCATACGAAACCGGGGATTGCCTGTTTTTCAAATAAATTGATTCTTTTTACAACAGGCAACTCCTCGAAAGTTATACACTTTTAATAAGATGTGGACATAATTCTATGTTCGTTTTAAAAATTAATTTTCCAGAATTGAATCGAAAGTAGAGGGTTAATATTCTACCGTCTCCTTTTTTTTTTCTTATGGAAAATCATCCCTTTTTTACGGAATACTTTGTATAATTTTATTCAAAGAAAACGGAACCGAGATGTCCTCTAACCCTTCAGAACTCTGACCCTAAAGCAAATTTTCTCCTTTCCTTTCACGGTCAGCCAATTTCCTTAGTCGTTGTTAAAAATAAGAGTATATTTGGGAATATTTTATTGACGCGGTTCAGAAATATCGAGGAGGAAAATCGAATAATCGTACCGGGAATCCCTGTACAGAAATCTCTAAAATGAATTCTTAAAACAACGATTTAATTTTATCTCCATCTTATTAAAACTGCTGAAAAATTATTCCCTCTCAAATGAATCAATTAAGTCACTGGATATAAGGCAATGATCTTAATAAAAAGTTCATTCATAAAAGAGAAAAAAGAAATGAATCACGAGATATCTCGTGTTTCGCTCTGGCGTCTCGTAAGAAACACAGATAAACCGGCAGGTGATAATGAACGATAAGTTGCGTATAAAAACGACCTTTTCAACTTAAGCCGCCGATTAAAATCTATATTTAAAATGTAAATGTTTTGTAAATGCGTGCAAAACAGTTGGTCCGATCGAAACTTGGTCACGTACGCTGTGATTCCAGGAAAAACCGCTTGTTCGTCAATATATTAAGATGAACTTTCTTGAACTTTCCTTTTTTCCTTACTTTTTCTCAATTTCCTCTGCGACAAAGACGAAAAAAAAAACGAAGTCTACTGTATACTTTGAAACGTAGTTAGAATCTAAAATATCGTAATATTAGTTGGACGAAGGTTGTACAAGTTTGAAAACTCGGTTTTTTAGAAGTCCCAGAACGACGAAGCTGGACAGAAAATTAGAAAGTTTCGTTCCTTGAAAGAAATTTCTAGTTTGCTACACCCTCCAAGCCTTGGATCGTGGAATTACAAAATTATTAATATAAAGACTGCCTTCACACGTTAAGAGGGTGGAAAGGAATTTAAAAGAGAAATTACAGAATGAAGAATTAAATTGAAAAAAGGATTACTACTTCGAGTTTGCAAGTATAAATTCAACGTTAAAAAAATGTTTTCGATTAAAAAAAATCAAGCTCTGTTTTTGCAATTTTGTTTACAAACGTACTTCTAACTGATCTCTTTGAATACTTTATCAAGAATATCACCCCTATGTAGATATACAGAAAAATAAGAGTGCGTGCGTCATCTGTAAACAAATTCTGTTTTTCAACTTACAAAACAGAAACATCGATATCTGATGTAGTTTCGGAGAAAACAGCTCGTGACACTTTAATCGAGCCATCCGTCGCATACCTTAACAAATAAAGGAGAACCTTAAAACGGTAAGACCTTGTTCGAGCATCGTCAGAGATAATTAGAAATGAACCAACCGACCGAAGAAGCCAGGGTAAAATAGCGAGCACAATTTCGTATCGAGAAACGACCCCAAAGCTCGGTCGGATGTTAGGGTAGAAAAGAACTTGAAAGAAGTAAGCTTTTGAAAGCTGGAAGCCTCGCAAAAATCGACTACGTCATCGACGGGTTAAACGGCACGAACCGAATTCGACACTTCTAAACAGGAGCTCCTCTTCAAGAAATACTTGTTCCTTTCCAGAACGAAAGATAAAGACGGAGAATAGGGGGAGGTTTATTTCTGACGTGAAACGAAGCGACGAGAAGGGGTTGCATCGTTCGCGAATGTCTTGGAGGGTGTCGTTTTCGAGTCCAAGGTCGGGAGGATTGTAGTCGAAGGATCCGTGAACTCGACGAAGGAAATCTCAAGATTTCTCGTGAACCTTGCGCGAACGTTAGGCAATTGGAAGTGGGCGACGTAACAACTCGGAGGGAAAAAGCTGGGAAGTTTCAAACCGGCGGAAAAACGAAATTTAAAAGGTACAGGATGTTGAGAATGGCTCTGTAAATGGGTCTGTGTGGTAAGGTGTTCTGTTTTAGTAAGGATAAGCTAGGTTCGTTTCAGCGATGAAGATGGAGCGGTTTAGAGATATTAAGTGTTTGATCGCGTGACGGTGAAAGATTTGATAAAAATTGTCGTAGGAATGAAAATGGAAGATAGGGTAAAAGGAATTTTATTAATCACGACTGTTTTAGTGAATCTGGAATTTCTACACTTCTGAGAATTTTATCAATCATTCTTCTATTTCAAATAGAATCTGAGATCATTATTTATAGGATGCAATATGAGAGTTTAACTCAGTCGGCCCATTCATAAAGTTATCTACGGAAATTCCATATTACCATACAATAATTCGTCTTGAAATATAATATCAAGCGAATAAAATTCACAGACTCCTCTAGTTATCTTCACCGCACTTGACGATTACGATTATCTATGTTTAATTTATAAGCAACACATTAGTAATTGAATGTAAATTAAACTCGTACGTGCATGTATTAAGGAAAGAAAAATCCTGAATTATAAACAAACAAGACCCATTCATTCATTGATCTCGGTTTATTGATCGAACCAAGGAAGTCGTGATTCCACCAATCTTCGGAATTTTTCTTAATCGCGTACAAACGATACCAGCTGACCTAGAGATTCACTTCAAACCTTTTGAATCGTTTACATCACGCGTTATCGTCGTTAATCGTGAGACGATCACGTGATTATTTGAAGGTAACACGTACACCATTTTTACGCAATTATTTGACTTCGACAAATATACGTTGATCGTCATTAATACTTAATTCCTGTCAAAATTTCACTTTCCATCTCTAAGGTAATCGACTCGATTAGTGTCAAGGTGTGGCTCAGGGACGGGGGCGGACTTTGAGGATTTAGGATAATTCCTGGTAGGAATTTAGGATCTAATTATTTTAAATTTGGGCCCGTCGTGTCATTAATCTCCCGGGAAAAATGTAAATCAGGACCCTGGTCAAAGAAGATCCTCCGTGTCCCACGATGCATTAAATTCGTGCATGGATCATCAATGGCCCACGTGAGTCAAGTAGCTGAAAACAAACATAGAAAATTCCGCACAATTAAGTTCGGTAAAAAATGTATTCAATGGAATATAATTCACTAAATTATCCAGAAATTTCATATAACGTACGACTGTATTTTTCGACTAACAAACGAGCCTATCATTGATACGAAGAAAGACGTTCAAAGTTGATCGGTATTCTCATTAAAATTTCAAACGAGATTCATTCAGTTCCTTTCGTAATTCTTTAGCGATTTGTTTCTTCGGATTCTTCAAATTCATTGCATCATAACAACTGGCTAAACGTTTCAAGCGCAGCCTTTGATATGAAAATTTCTTTTCATGTATATTGTGATGTTTGACGACGTTTCGGTAGTAAACAACATATTTGATGAATGAAACCTTCTATTATTCGCGATGCTTAAGCAACTGGAACAAGGAGACCCGTCAGAATGACGAATTTCGCGTTTTAAATTATTGAAATTATCGGTCATTGGACAAATGGACCGATGGAAATATTTTCGTCCACGAATCGAACGTTGGATAATTAAATAACGAACATTATGATTAAATCTAATTTAGTAATTGCATCGACGTACCTCGGTGCTTGAGCTATTTCAATTTACCATTCGTAGCTATATTATTCTCTGTCGTACTAAACACGGTTATTTCTACTGTGGCGGTGAACGCGTTAACACATTGATTATCGCGGTGCAAACGCTCCTGTGCGATAATTAATAATTAATAGTACTCTTGATTTTCCAATTTAATATTCTCGCTCGATTACGTGATTGATAAAATATTAATGATATTTAAAATTTTTCTATGGTAATTTATTATTAATTCGTGGTACCCAACACCAGTGACCCTGATTGACCTATTTCTTTAATTAATCTTCAATTTGAAACCTAATGTATGTTCAAGGCTGAATTGTTCCACTGTTAAGCAATTACGAGGCTCCAATAGCAAAACAGGAAACACGAGAGCTATAATTTTGGCTCGGGATATCTAATTGGAACGTTCCGTTTTGTGGTTCTATTTCACGATTTCGCGAATCATTGCACTCCCAAGGGGATTATTCTGAAAATAGAGGCGTCATATAAGCAACGCTTGATCCGTTGGATTAGTTGACTCGTCCGGGGAGTCGAACGTGAGACGTCAGTCGATGTTTACAGTGGAAACACAGTGGACAGAAAATGATAAGAAATGGTCAATCTTTCTTCCTATTCTTCTATTTTGAATTTCTAATCGGATGATCACATTACAATGGTTAATTGAATTTCTTGCGACGTATGCAAGCGTTTACAGCAAAACATGTTGACCTTCCATAAAAAAGGAAGAAGAAAAGACGATGAATAGAAACAACAGAGATTCATAAAGAATTCATATTTGATCTCCCTCTGTGGATCGAATAAATGAAGAATTTCAAATGATGAAGAATTTGAATCAATTTTAATTATCTCCTCTGCTAATTTTGTCTGTGTTCTATTTTTCGTTCACGGTTCAAAAGTGTGTTCGCGTGTTCCGTGTGATAACGAGCAGGAAAAGTCGGACGGGCACGTGCGTTCCGGGTGCAAATGGGTTAAAAAAGAGCGCGCAGCGGGTGATACCCGGTCGGTCGAAAAGAAAAATAGCGGTTCGTTTTTTAGGGGAGGGCTAATAATCGAACGAAATGACCGTGAAACCGGGCCAGGAGGCGAAAAATAAGGAACGAGGGAAGCCACGAGGACGATTCCGGTGATTGAAGGTGCGCAGAAGCGCCGGTGGCCGGCGTCGGACGTCGCGACGAGGGCATCCGCAGTCGTGACTCGCGCGGCGTCCGTGTCGGTTCGTCGATTCCCAAGTTCCTCGCGAGCTTTGTGACATATCCCCAGCTCGGCCGTCTCTTCGATTATTTTTCCATTTCCATTGGGAAAAAGGTCGAATTTGTCAGAGAAGATCAGAACACTTCAGGGTTGATAGAACATAACAGAGCTCAGTTATAAAAAAAAAAAAGAAAGAATAACTGAGAATCTGGTTCTGCTCCTGAATAGCAGATCTTCTTTTTTTAATTTAAAAATTGAGCCTTGTGTAAAAATAAAAGAGAAGATTAAATTTTCTGAGAAATTGAAAATTCGTGTGGGATTAAAAAGGGGGTCGTTTGGTAAAAAATCCAATTGACAATCCAGCTGCAATTCTTCTGCTCCTTCATTTTTATCATTTTTGTGCAAAGTTACTTGGAGGAGACGAGAATCTAGAGGCTTAGAGCGAGAGGAGATCTGGGGTTGATAAGAGAAGAAAGTAGAACTTAGAATCCAGTTTGGTTCCTAGTTACCAGTTTCTCGGAATCTTGAATAAAATTAGCTGGAAAAATTGGAGACCGAATCTGAGATTATTCAGGCAGTCTACTTCGAAAAATCCCATATCGTCTGAAGATTCAAAAGAAGATCCAGTTTCTTTATCGCCAGAAGAATTTAATAAAAACCTGAAAGAGTTTTCTAATCTTCCACAACTGTTCCGAAAAGATATCTCAAATAAACGAAACAAACTCGATCGATCAATTAAGAAAAGTTCAACTGGAAAGAGACCCAAGTGTTTCTTTGCTTTTCAAACTCCACGAAACTTCGTCAAGTGGTATCAGAATCCCCCCCCAAAAAAACTGAAACTCAAGCTTCCAATACAAACCAATAACCCATAATCAGTTCTCTAAATGCACCAATTAAACTCGCTTCAAAGATTTATCAACCGATCAGAGTGATAAGATAAACGATTCATCAGTGTATCAAATCGAAGCTTATAATGTGCCCTATGCAACCACCAGCAGAGAACCAATCAAAGTGATCAATTGAAAATGGAGGAGCCAATAATATCCAGTCTATCGAACAGTACTTACGCGACCATCCAGGAGTACATCCAAGATATCACGAAATTCTATAACGAAACCGACGATGATTACATCGAGTACCCAGTCAGTTACCCTCGAAGAGACTCGCTCTACATCGTGGTGCCGGTGACGATCATTTACGCGTCGATTTTCGTGACCGGCACCATAGGAAACATCAGCACGTGCATCGTGATCGCACGCAACAAGTCGATGCATACGGCTACCAACTATTATCTCTTCAGTCTAGCCGTGTCAGACCTGTTGCTGCTGGTTTCCGGACTTCCGGCGGAGATATTCTTGGTATGGTGCAAATATCCGTACATATTCGGCGAGGGTTTCTGCGTTCTACGAGGTCTCGCAGCGGAGACATCGACGAACGCCACGGTCCTCACCATCACCGCCTTCACAGTCGAGAGATACGTGGCCATTTGCCATCCGTTTCTTTCTCAGACAATGTCGAAATTGTCGAGGGCAGTGAAATTGATCCTGGTTATCTGGCTGGTAGCATTATCGTCCGCGTTACCTCAAGCACTTCAGTTCGGAGTGATCCAACATCAACTGGATCCTAATTTAGTAATGTGCACCGTGAAGAGGATACTTCTTCAGCATTCTTTCGAACTGTCCACCTTCCTGTTTTTCGTCGTACCAATGAGCCTCATCACTGTGCTTTATGTGCTGATTGGGCTGAAGCTGAGGAAATCGAACATGATGAAGAGGAGTCATGGTAGAGATGGGAGCTGCAGACATCACCCTAGGAGGTCGTCCAGGAGGGTGTTGAAGATGTTGGGTGAGTTGAGAAATATTTCTATTTGTTTTTCTTTTAACAAGTTGCAGTTGATGTTAAACCTTGATAACCGGGTCGTAGCTTTCCAGTAGAATTAGACATTGAAAGAAGGCCAATGTTAATAAAAAAAAGAGATAATTAATCGTAAGTAGATTAAGTTCAATGTTCAGACAAGTTCTCGTTTCCTGAATTCTTCAGATTTATATCATTTCTTTCCACCGAACAAAGGGGCGAGATCTCGTGTTTCTTTTTAATTACGTTACTCTTAATTAACACGGGCTGTGACTTAAGAGTGACAAACACGGGTTTAATTATGAACGAAAGTATATTATTCGAAATATTAAAATGTTTGTATAAAATTATCGAGTGAAAAGTTTCTTAACGAGCTTCTGAATAATAAACTCAGTTGAATAATTGAAACAGTTCTTCGACCTGCGGTAATTAAATTAACAATTGATCGAGTTATCTTTCCGACATCTGAAACACGCTTTTCTCTGCTCTACGTTCAACGCTTTTTCCCTCGCTGCCAAAAACAACATTTCAAACGTTTAATCATGATTATCTATTCTTGCCTGGTCTCTACTCGTCCTCTTCTACTATTACACAGTGTTTTGTGTACACAGCGCATGTGTTTGATATTAATGGACGATTAACTTTAGTGATTTACATGTTCTTCGTACCGTGCCATCATAGTAGGAATTTTGATAAAATTTTCAAGAAGACCAGTTTATTATATTTTTAAATATAATAAATATTCTTGAAATTTGATCCTGTTAGTCCTGGTGAAACATCACCAAATATGAAGAAATTGCACGATTACGTTTGTTATTCATAGGAAGCATTTTTTGCCAGAGACAGTGGAAGAATATTAAATTTATAAATGTAGATTATCACCGGCTGTCAGATTTTCTAGTTTACTGAGTTTGTTGTTTTCTTTCCTCGTCAAAAGTCAACCCGCATTGAAATCACCGATATTAGTTTTACAGTTTACCCTTTGCGGACACGACTCAGCTATTATTCCAAATATTAACCCTTTCGCTGCTACGGTGGTCCCATGGGACCGGCGCTTGTCTTTTCATTTGGGGGCCATGGTGGTCAAGAAAATTGTGCTATTGGCAAGATTGTTTTAATATACTTCGCAGTTCTTTGTCTTTATAAAATTTTTAATATGAAATTTGTGGCCCACTGGTGCAAATTCAAAATTTCGTATGGCATCGAAAGGGTTGAAAAAGTATTTTCTCCAGCTCGAAAACACCAACGACAAAATTATTATTCTGCCATCGCAATTATGCTGATCATCGTCGACGATCATTATTGTATGACATATTGAATTGTATAATGATCCAACAAAAATCGCGACGTAATTATGCATAACGTAAGAACATGTCACCTACCATGGCTTTTTTGTAACACCCTGAAAAAAGTCAACTCGATTCTCGCGTTTTTAAGCATTCGTTAATTGAAATTCTCCTTGCAATTTTTATACCAACTTGGACAGATTAATAGGAAATGATCAACTTGCTTTATTAAAAACATCACGTGTCATAAAGCAATCCGTCCTGAAGCGTGTACATAAAATTACATTGCACGTGTTGTTAAATACGCTGAAAATTTGCGTAAATTATTCACAATGAAATGAAAGTAACACGCGATGCTGGGCGATAAAATGATGTTCTGCATTTGACGGATACAATTCTCTGTGAATAATCAAGCTCGATATTAATGTGATCGTGAAACGGAAAATTTATCATTCTACGTTAAATCGATCGGTGAGAAATTGAAATCAAAATTGTGTGTTTACAATCGTGCCACGTGGTCGTCACATGCAACATCGAAAGGTAAATTTTACATTATTTCCATCGACTTCCGGTACGACTTTATAATTCACCAGCTGCAACTGCGATGAATCGTAATCGCTCGATCGACGAATATTTTATTGATATCTTCGGGATGTTAATGTTTGTTTTTGTATAAAAGCTTGAAATTGTTATCTAAGCAAATATTAGAAAACCTTGGACGATTATAATTGTGAATGATAAATTTATGGAGGTTCGATAAATTGCTTATTTATAGTTGCTGATTCGAATCAGTAATTAATCAGACAGAAAAAGAAACAAATGTATCAGATAAGCCAAACGTTACAGCGCAACGTTAAATCAATTTTCCTGTCATCTATATTTAGTCACAGAGAAATATAATCTTTCTGCATGTCAGATTAGGTGACAGTTGTCATCGAAAATGGTTGGCAGTGACCACGCGTCGCGACGATTAAACATAAACGAGTACACGCGTCGCGTTTTATTATCCCGTTTGTCGCATAATACCACGATCGTGTTTCATGAACACGCCTCGTTAACTTGCTAATTACACGTGTTCGCACATATGTATTTTAGTCGAGTTTCATGACACGGAAACGACGCCTCTGCTTGTCCCATCGATCCACGATAATCATCATTTTGACTATTGAATCGAAGCTATTGTTTACAAAATTTAATAAAAATGAACGAATGACCGACTAAGATTCCTTTCTGAGAACAAGTTCAAAAATAAACTTCCTTAAAATTCTTTTGAAATGATTCAGAGAATTTCATGCGTTCGCAAGAATCTCGCTTCGAGGAATCGAATGCTTAATTAAGGAGGATGATCGGTCGATGAGAAAATTCAGAAACCGTTTCTTGCCCGAAATTGCGAGCAACGGGAATTTTGATGATCCTTGTTATAGGCTCTGATATTACGTTGCATCGACTGCCATTGCAATATCTTCGTGATTAAACCTTGCATCTGCCCGATGATCGAAACTGTGCATTCATTAGCAACGACAGTTTATCACTGACGTTCGATGATAAACATCGAGTGGAACTGATAAATGATCATCTTCTACATGATTTGATTAATCCCATGTAGGATGTTTGTAAATATCCTGCGTAATGTTTATTTCAATGATCATAATTAATTAGTTTTCTGATGAATTTTTTGTAAGAATATTTTTGGATAATTAATTAGTTTTCCGATGAATTTTTTGAAAGGATATTTTTGAAATATAAAGAATATTTTCAGATCTTAATCCGGATAATAATTTCGCTAATTAGCCTGGATAACGATTTCGAAAAGCAGACTATAAGTTCGAACAAAGTATCCGGCGCATTTTATCCCGTACCATTCGAAGCAATTACAGAAAAACATCCGGAAATTCAGTTGAAAACCCAGACACTCCATTTAGGGGCACAGGTGCGGCGCCTTTAATATCAAATGCAAGGTAGACCAGCGGTAAACAAAGAAAGCGAAAAATTGTTCGAAGAAGGTGATTTGTGCAAAAGAAACCCAATATCCTTTGTCTCCTTCATTTTTCTTTCGACCTAATGAAAATTCAATCACGTATTCTCTGAACCTCAATAAAAAAAAAGAAACTTTAATTTCGTCTCAGATAATAAAAAACTTGATGAATATTTTTAACTTCGATAATTACTTTTTTGCGAGATAAAGTACTAATTAATGAGACGTGTGTCAATCGCGAAAACCGTAATCTTTTTGATTTCTGGGGAATTCATTTCTAGATATAACTTATGCTTCGAGTTTTCCTGGTGACAATAGTCAATAATAAGGGGGATGCAAACTAATTGAGAAAGGTGACAGCTAATTACAACTTTTCTCAACAAGTTGCTACTATGATCTCGGTAGACCTCTAATAACGGCTTATCACCCTTTTTTATCCTCATTTTTTATCACGAGACCGTGGAATAATTAATTTCCTTTATCTCTTCAATGATCCGTTGGAAAAGTGTTTTTTCACATCTGTTTTTATACACACTCGTTGGCCACGACTTTTCCTGTTTCCATGTTTTCTTACATTCTCTCTCTTTATTCTCTCAAAGTATCTGTCTCCATCCCAAAGACGAGAAATCGAGTTGATATGCATATACTTGAATCTAATAACTCTAGGAGTCCCTCGCACGGTTTTTTTCATTTTACCCACCTGTTTACTTAATAAGAATGCGCTGCATTGAGCGCGTGAATCATTTGTCTGGTTGTCATTAAACAATTATTAGAAAGAAAAAAAAGAAGTAGTCTTACACAGCCTTGCCAGTTGTAAGAACTAATTTTATTGGTTTAACAAGAAAGAACTTACTTAGCTATCAAAATACTAAAGCTGTCAATCTTTCAACTTTAAACACCATTTAGTCAACCAGTCTAGCGTGAAAAATATCTTGAAAATAGATGCTAGGAAACACGGCTCATTATTATAGAAAAAACGCGTTCATTGCGAACACAATTTATATATTTTCCAGCAGAGCGGAAACTTCCTTTCGGAAGAGTGAACTTTAAAAGATTCAAAGCGCAACTCTCGCATGGCGCATCTTGCAAACAAGATACCGTCATCTTTTTGAACCCGTCGCCTCGGAACCAATAGTGTTTGCCGTCCAGACTTCGCTTGATTTCTCGTTCTGCTTCGATCATCCAAGTTTGCGAGCCGAGAAAACTTTCTCGCCCCGAAACGAGCAAACGCGAATCCCTTCGATCGAAGTTTCTGTTTGTAAATCCTGTTGCTTCGAGTCGAAACATAAAATAACTCGACGGGGTTGGAAAGATACATAAACGATGGGAGGAATTTGAAATTCTCATTCACGAGTTTGGCGTAGAAAAGGAACGATTCAGCGGGACGAAAGGAGGCGAGGAAGATGAAAGAAAGTAAAATAAAGGGATCCTGTAACCAGTTTCGAAAATGAATTATTCAAGAAAAAAACGCGAGATGGTACGAATTGCGTAGAAATGCCATAACTCGACTGAACTTGACCCTAGCCGCATATCAATTCCAGTCTTTGCATATCTTTCAAAAGCGTTCCGCGTAATACCGTCGCGTAATGGCACAGACTTGTCGGGAATAATGCACCTGCGAAACAATTTCGAGTCCAATTGGAACAAAGGTTTTCGTTCCTGTTGGTCATCTTTATCGTCCTTCTTTTTCCCCTCTTTGGGTTCGTCGGTTAGAATTCTCCAGAACGTGGTATCGAACTTTCGACGGTGTCGCGTGCTCGATTCCTAACGATATTTAAATATTAACATCCATGGAACACCTTAGAATGTTTCCAAACGATAATTAAGAACTTCAAATTTGCAAACGTCTAAATGATTTTTATTCAAAAACTACAGGAAATAATAGAATCGATGTCTGGTGTTTAGCTTCGAGTAACATCGAAGAGAATTATTAAACGTTTGAATTTATAAAAAGAAACATAGCATTAATATTGTATCGATGATGAATCGTCGCTGGTTCGAGCAGACCGGTTTCCCTTGGAATTGAGAAACAAGCAGAACTTCCATACGTTTGCTCGATACAAATCGCCAGGAAAGGGAGAAGTTTCACGGTTCAGACGTAAAAATAGGGGCGATACCTCCCTTGAGACCGAGCTCACCCCATCGGTAGCCCCTTCGAAATGAAAAAGGCACGTTTCAGATGTTAAAGTGTTCCCCGAACTTAGTTTTACGACGCTGAAACCGCGTTATCGTTGAACATTTCAAAGGACCCACTTGTCTTCTCACTTTATTTTGAATTAACAATGATTTTCAGTTTCTTTAATGTCGTATCACTGGACTTCCGCAATGTTCATTTTCACTTTTATTTAATGGATCAATGTAAAAGTAAATACTTAGATCGAGAAGGGGAAAGGTTAGTAATGTATTACATAAGATGTAGGAACTTGAACGAACCAGGAACACGAATACCACTCAAATACAAGTGTGTCCTTAGACCCTCGTTGAAATTATCTCTAACGATGAAAGAACATCTTCGTGGGAGAGTGATTCTTTGAAATTCTAGGAAAATTGCTTCCGAGGAAGCAATTTTGTTGCTATAATATAGGTTGATCGAAAGCATTCGTTCATTAAAAATTTAGACAGTTATGTTTGATGGATCGTGTCTGCAATTTTACAGAAGCTTTAAAAACACCCTTCGATTAAAATAAATAACGATGTATTAAAAATAAATAGCGGCGTGAACCTTGATTAAATACATCATTAGAGATGGTAGACATTTGCAAATAAATCGTCAATTGATTAAAAAGTGTGATTAATGATGGTCGGTGTCAATGGCGTCAACAGATTATTACAAAAAGTACATCAGGAAGTTGGTCATTAAAAGTATATTAATTAAAGATTCTTCAGTAATTCTAAAAAAGTTACTCCGAAAAAAGTATTTCTTCTTTGGAATATTTGCAATATAAAACACTATGTATATATTTTTAGTAAGATTTAGGAAAATGATTATAGAATCGTCGATGTTCTTCATCTTTTACTTCACAGTTTACTTCTGTCAACCCTCGATTATGTTTACCGAAAATTGAATACGTAATTTAAACATCATTTGGGACATCACCGTCCACTTTTCTCCTTGCTTATTTTTTTGTCTCATTTATGATAGATTAGATAGGTAATTAATCAAAAAAAGGCGATTAATGAGCAAGAATCTTTGACACGACGAAAATAACTGGCACGTAGCCGGCTATTATAAGACACCGGGAAGATTATATTTTTAAACATCTGACGAAATTAATATCGATCATACACGCGCAGTAATTAAACGATTGCAATTTTATAGATTTATTTCTTTTTCTGTTTTTATTTCTGACCGGGCGCCAGAATGACTTATCAGTGAACTCGTTGATAACGAAGTATTCCTTGAATTCCTTGCACGAGCCACCATTAATATCATCCAGTTGACGTAGCTTTGACGCATACTTGAAAAATACTCGTTAGATGGCCGATTGTCCCCGTGTTCCGGCCGCTACCGTTCCATTCCGCTCGCGGATCGTTTTAAATTTAGACACGGCTAATAATTCTTCGTTGCCTGTTTACGTCCTTATTCCTCGCGATCATCGAAGCGGTTGATTTACCGCTTTATTTTTCCCTTTTTAGCTTTATAAAGATTCCAGAATTCACTTCCTAGCTTTTGTACAGAATATTAATTTCCCAACGAAAGATCCTTGATACGTTCAAAGAGTATTCATTATGAAAATCATTTTTTATTTTTATATATCGTGTAATAATTAACGCGTTGATTACCAATTTCGAAGGTATTTAATTTAATTAAATTACCATCGCTATGATTCTTATTAATTGAAAATTATAATTATGTTTCCAGTGGCGGTGGTGATCGCGTTCTTCATCTGCTGGGCGCCATTTCACGTGCAACGACTGATCGCCATTTATGGGACAAATTCTGAGGACCACATCACGTCCAACAGCAAGTGGATAGAGTTCCTTTATCTCCTGATGACCTACATATCTGGGGTGCTCTATTACGTGTCCACGACGATTAATCCGATTCTATACAACATCATGTCGAACAAATTTCGCGTTGCGTTCATGGTGAGTAACGACGTCTCATCTCGTTCATATAAACAGACTGTAGCGAATAATTAGAGGATCAGCTGCTTCAATTACGGAAACCTCTCAATTGACATCCAATTACTCCGCCCATCCCTCTTCCCTATCTGCCTACTTCTCTTTCGGGTAAAATCGTTCGAGGAACATGGAATGGGTTAATGGGGAAACATGGTCGAGTTAGAAACGGCTTTCATTGTTTCCGGGTTACTGAATTTCTCCACGTGTTAACGATCTCATTCATTTCCATCCATTAGAAACTATTTCATTTACAGTTCTCTGAAAGGGTTAATAATAATAATTCATTATTGACCATTAAGAAATAAACGAAAACTTGTTTCAATGATTTTAGACTTCAACCCTTATAAAATGGCGATAACTTCGGCACGTGTCACGGTTCATCCCCTTGGTAGAAATCAATTACCAGGAGAACCAGTCCAACCTCCTCGAACAACTTTGATCCATCAACTCAATTCGCGTCTCCGCTCTTCACCCTTCGATCACAAATGTACGTTTGACTTTGTCAGCCACAAGACGTTATTCTGTTTTCACAGGAAACACTGTCGAGGAGTTGCAGGATACCCTTATTGCCGGTTCGCAACGAGCAACGTTCCTACTCGAGTTTGTCCCGATCCCAGCAAAGAGCGATGGGCGCTTACGGGTCGAGGACGGCGGGCACCGGAGGTACCGGGGTTGCCCATGAGAGCACCGATTGTTCCGGAAATTCCGGCCGCGAGGAGAGCCCGAAACAGACGACCTCGTTGGTAGAGCAGGTGGAAACGGGGCCGCGAAACGCGGACAGGAAAAAGGATAATGGTAAGGAGATCAGGAAGCTCGCGAAAGAGGTGAGGTCGATCGGTGGGCAAAGATCGAAAGCCACAGCTAGGTACGCGACCGTCAAGGTCTCCAACGTCGACGAGGCGAGGAAGAAGTGGTGGAGGTTGCTCAAGTGGTTTCCTGGCTTGAAATCCTTCAAGCTGGCCGGAAGGAACACGTACACCGTGCCGGAGAACCATATCCTGAAACAACCAGAACTGAATAGGGAAGAGTTCTCGATGACCATGTGGAATGTACACGAGCCGAATGATCAGCTGCCTGTTTGAACGGGATCGTTTCTTTCCTCTCGATGACCATTGGAGTGATCTCTGTTAAATAATATTAGGGTCACTCTGAAAGTTTTGAGAATCAAAGGAGAATTGATGGACTCGTCTGATGCTGAGTAACTCTAGGCTCACTCTGAAAGTTTTGAGCCGATAAATTGATTTGGTATCGACTGGTATTTATTGCATAGTATTGGGTCAGTCTGAAAGTTTTGAGAATCAAAAGGCTACATTCGCAAACTGATGAACTGATTTGTTGCTGATCGTGAGTGATGTTATTTGAGTAACACGATGGGTTACTCTGAAAGTTTTGATAATCAAAAGAAAACGTTTCGATAGATTTTTTTTCTTTTCGTATAAATCAAAGGGGAACTTGGAAACATCGAGCAGTACGTTGTGCATGAATGTCGTAAGTGGATTGAAGGGGTGTATAAATAAAAGGAGGCGAAGTATAAGGCGAAGCTCGTGGGTTATAAATCGCTTGGAAATGTATATTCCTGTCAGGTTTTTCGATGATCGAGATTCTTCCCGTGTGCTTTGAAAAGCGCGTCGATAATAGACGTTCATCCCCTTTTTCCTGAATCGTACAAACTCGAAATAAGAAAGTTCTCCACGTGTTTTGACGAGGGCATCGAATTTATCAAGGGAGGAGAAACTCGGGTGCTGTGAGAGAGATGAAATGATAAAACTCTCTGTTTTCACGAGACGATTACGAAATAAAAATGAAGGAAATAATTATTAAAATTACTTTGCTTAAGTTTCACTCAAATTTGACTGAAACTTGATTTAAAATAAATCCAAATTACCTCGTATCATCAGATAGATAATTAAATAAAATCTAACGGATAGTTTTATCATTTTCTCCTTGAATGCAAACTATAAATATGGAAAAGTAAGTTGAAGTTGAATTGTTGATATGTTCAAACACAGGATGCGTTGTTATCTATCATAACATTTGAAATGCATTGAATTTTAACGGGAAAATAAATGGAAGAATCTATTATAGGGAACATTGTGCATCTCTGTAAGTTATTAACATAAACACAACTGATGGCAATGAAGGATTATCAACTTTGTTGAAGTCATAGGCGTCATCGCCGTATTAGAATATAGGATTTTACCGTACGAATCGATTGAACACTACACTTGAATCTTGACAATGTGATATTATTTATTGTGTAATTATTATAAAGTGTATATTGAATCGTACGTTATTGACTCGAAATTAATTGAATCGCTTAGGACATACTGTATGTCCTACATTTATGTTTGTAAGTCGCTGTACTTTACAGTAATAATATTTTTGATAATTATAGAACACCATTGTGATGTTCTTTTCAGTTAATTTTTCTCTCCCTTCTTTTATATAGCTTTAGAACGATACAAGATAGCAAAAAGATGTCATAATAAAAGAGTCTTTTTTAATAGATTCACAAACTTAGGACCGACAATTTTGGTCTTTAATGGGTAATTAAATTTCCTATGTATTGCAGTTTATTCTGAGCCCACCTTGAAATTTCCAGATGAGCAGTATAATGGTAAAAATAAATTAATCTCAATATTTTGACAGATGACCAACGCGTCAGCGTCATTTGGAAGTAATTAATAGTATAAACTTATACATATATTTAGGAGGAAGTATTCCTTTATAACTTCCATCATCAACATTTACATTTACTTTCTAAATAAACTATATGAAAAACCGTTTGTGAAATTGTAAAATTTATCAAAATTTTGAGCTCATGTTGCTCCATAAACGGTTTTCGAAAGAGGATCAGTTAACTTTCCGGAGGGAAGTTATGACCATTGGAAATTTACGTAATTTTTAAGAAAGAAAGAATTCCTCTAATTTTGCGATGGAATGTATTTTATTACAAAATAGAATTTTAAATTACACGCTATTTATATACATCAGATTATACCTCGTTAGTAAATGGTATATAAAACTTGTATAAAAATGTCGTAGATTCAATGTAAAATATCACGAGGTACTTCATTTATATTACATTTAATAACGATTCACGATATAAATTAACATTTACAAAGAAATACAATGACAATATAAGAAATAGTAAATCTTATTTCATTGAGATTTCTATTTATTTATATAATGATTTGAATACGGTTAAAACTTTGTAGAGGTTCTCGTTTTTCTTGGAGCTCGTGGTTATTGGTTGTACGGTTATTTCTTCGAAATTTGATAATATATCCAGTTGTTTTGTAATACAATTTTTCTTAGCCGGCTCCATTTCAGATTGTGACGCTTTGTCAAAAATGAACGTTTGTTTTATTCGACTCATAGCTTCCTCTGTAAAAAGAAAGATATTACACGTTAATAAAACTACGTATGGGATTTGTGTTTTCTTCTGTTAAAAGTAATTAAAATATTCAATTATTCTCATCGGACTGGAAGTAAATGATGACGAAAATGTCATCGTAAAGTGTGAGTACTTTAACGAAAAGAAATAGTAATAAGAAACAATAGAATGCATTCACACTTACGCTCGTTTTCGTGAAGAACGAAATCATCGAAAGAACTTATGTTCCTTATGAATAAATGAAATGCATCCTCTATATCGGATAATCGAATAACAAAATCGGGATCGCATATCGCCAAGTGAGATAGGAATCTTATCCCGTCTCTTAGCACCTTCGCTTGTTTTTTCTTCAATGTTGCCCAGACATTTTCATCCGAAAATTTATCACGATAGATCTCGCGTATGCACTTCTTATTTCTGTCTGATAGAAACGGAGAATGTTTGCTGCAGATATTTTTCAAATTGCAAGATTCTTCTTGTTGTAAAGGAAAATGATTTAAATTGAAATCCCCAAGAGCGCTCAAATTCGCTTCAGAACATCTGCCCAGGGTTTCAATTGTAAACCTCAATAATTTCATGCAACAATTACAAGAACCTAAGGTATCAGATCTCAGAGGGATAATATTCGTTTGTAATACATATTGTACCAATTGTATCAGTGTATCTGTAATGTCTATTGCTGCTATCAGATCGAAATGATGATCTTCCACTTGTGCTAGGAAAATCTGTAATGGACAAGCATCTGAAACGAAAATATGCAATAAGAAACAGTAATACAGTTAAACTCTCATTTGAAAAATAGAACAGACATCCTTTTGTACCTGGAATAAAATGTAGAGAGCCTTTCCAATTATTCACTGCCATTGATTCTACAGAAGTAATAGTACATTATAAATAAATACACATAAAAATAAGGTAGAAGAAAGAGTAGATCAACATACGTGAATTGATACAAAGTTTTGGCAAGTACGTCACAGATTTAATAAAGATCATTATTAAATTGCTAAGCTGTGTGTAACAATAAGGTAAAGGCCTAGCGAACACTATTTCTTTAAATATCCGGTAAATATAGTCCATTCTGAAACAAGAAACTAGATAAAGAATGAACGATTAATTGAAAAATTATTTTTCACGTACCCCTGCGAACAATATTCAACCTTTTTATGAACATTATATATAAGCATCATAATGGCACACAGAAGGCCACTAAATTGGTGAGCTCGCCTCTGAAAACATTTAAATATAAACTTAAAGTATTCGAAACATTGATGATTACTGAAAAATGAATATTACCGTGAACCCAACTAAGGTAACAAATTGTAATAACATCCTGAGCATCTCAAAGTCTTGATCCTTCTCCGACCACCTGCTGTAGCGAACCATATGAGGCGAGTAACTTTTATAAGATTCGTCTTTTTCTGTGAGTAATTCTGCTTTTCCTGCAATATACTTGCTAAGATAAGTCGATTCCACAGTTATATATGATAACACGCCAAACACTCGTCTGGTTTCAACACCACGCTCGCATTCGTGCCATGCACTCGCGGCGCACACAGATTTTCCATTAAAGTTAGAAGTCGAATACAAGTCAGAAAAGTAAATGTCGTTCATGTCTCGAATATCATCGTTGTTCATAGCTTGAAAAATTGTCTGAAGAATGGTTATTACATTCAAAAGCAATTCTCTTGCAGTAGAAATTAACTGAAACGAAATAATCTATTAATGATTATACTATTTAATCTAGATATTTAGTTTGTATAAAATAAAAGGATTTACTTTATTTATAATAGGGATAGTATTTTCTGACTCAAGCTCCAGGGTCGTTTTTCGTTGAAGAATAGATATTTCTGGTAAAATAAATTCTACAGTAAGCTTTTTATCATCTATCATAGTTGTTACAGGTTTCACTAGTTCTGGATTTTCTACAACAAAAAATATTAAAATATAGCGGAGTTATAGAATGTAAAAAATGTTACAGGAGTAAATTTTACCGAATATTCGGCATGTATTTTCCTCTTGTAAGATAGGCAAATTTCGTCGTCCAGTTTTTTCTATGATTTGAATATCAATTACAGATTTCTCTGAGTGTGATGCATCATATATTAATTTAGGAATTTCTGACAGAGGATAGTCTGCAAGAAAAATATACCCTTATTTAGGTTCACTATTAACAAATTAATGTTTTCTTCTATAATCGACTTACAGGAACTCCAAACCTTAAGGAAGTATAAGTTTTTATTATGCACATTTGTTTGAATACAAGTTTCCTTTACTTTCACTGATTTCATGCTGGAAGAATGTGATCTGAAAATAATAGTATAAAAATATGTTCGATTCTAATAATAATTTATAGGAATATTTCATAAATTTACCGACTGCTTGGTAAACTAAATCTACTTTTACTAGCAGAGACATTTAAATTTATACTGTGTGGCTCTGTCAACTTCACATTTCCACTCTCTAATAATTTAAAACGTTCCATTAAATTTCTGACTTCAAATGTCTACAGAAGAAAACGAAAAATTATTAGAATTTAATATATGAAGCTTCTTTGAAATCAATTATTGTACTAATCAGAACACAAACTTGCAATTCAAGTTGAGTTTTTAAATGTTCTTTTTCTTTACAAATAGCATTAATCTCTGTTCTATGTCTATTTTCTTGCTCTTCAATGAAACGCGTTTTTTCTAATTTATCATTCTCTGCACGTAATTGTGTCTGCTGCAATTGATTTCTTAAAAAGACAGCTTCTCCTTCTTTAGTTATAAAGTCATCTAACAATTTTTTATTCTCAACTTTCAGTTTTTCCAATTCCTTTACATATTCTGATCCTGAAACTATAACTTGTACATTAATTGATATGTATAGAATATAAAGAATCATTTTAATTTTACCTAAGACACCATTATTATCCAACTTAAATGTTGAATTATGTACTCTTCTATTTATTAACTTATTTTCAAAATCTTTGTAATCACCAGACACAATAGTGCTTGTATCCTTTAAAAGTAACGTATCTTTTCTTTGAGTATTATTTTGTGTCATACATATGGAAGATTTTAATATTTTATTTTCATTGCTATTTAAATTGCAATCAAATTTACTAGTAGATGGCATGCTATTGAATCTTTGCACACATGATGTATTTTGTTCTCTGTTTGGTTGACTAAAAACAGTGTGCTCCTGAAACAAATATTAATAATATAATATATAATTCATACGATTTTTTAATGTAATTAATCAATATGAATCATACCTCCAAACAAGCTTGAGATGCCACATAATCCATCTCTTCTATATCTTCTTCTGCAAAATCATCACCCCACACATCATCGGATCTTACAGATTTTTCATTTATTGACTCTCTATTACTTTTAGAAACACCTACCAATGTTTCTTTTTTTATATCATATTTTGCTCGCTTAGCAGGTAGAGAATACTTATTCTCTCTATTACCATTTGTTCGCTTAAACATTTTAAGTGATTGATATTACATGAACAATTACAAAATTACTTCAACATCAGTGTAAATCTTTCTTCAATGTGTTCAACAAACATAATTTACACAATCTGTCAGTATTCATTTATGATATATTTGTTACTGAAAATAACAATGTTTATGAACGTATCATTTTATTGAAGCGGTTGCATCATTTATACATTCGTTTAACAGTGACATATTATAAAGTTTTATGAGAATAACGTAGATCATCACGTTACATACACATTAAATAACAAAATTTGTTACAATAAAAGGGATGTTAAAAATTTATTACAATTCAATTGAGCGGCAAATCAAACACGTGAAAAAACATAGGCTCATGTCAGACTCATCGACCATCTTCCAGCGGCCGGTCAACTAATGTCATCTATTAAAATATAATAAAAACTACTTGTCCGTAAGTTTCGGCTGTAGAAAGTTTGACTGATAAGTCATCAAAGTAGCAACTCGACAGATAACATTCAACATTTTTATCATTTTTGTAACATCGTTGGAAGTTTTGAAAAATCGGCGGCACCGACGAGGAACAGTATCTCGTCGGTGGCGGCGGTCAAGTTGTCGAGTAGGTTTCGCCGCTTTTGAACAGATGGTGCAGAGGTCGTATTTTTGATCAGTGTACCAACCATTAGTACCATTTATCTTTGTTTGGTGTATGTACATACACTACTATTTATACCGCAGTTCACCAGAGTCCATAATTGCGAAAAGACCAGTTTTTGTTCTTTGCGCTTCTCCAGTACGCATCTTCGCCCTGATTGGCGAACTCCCAAACGAAGTGGAAAGCGATTAGCAGAGAGCTCGCTGCGTTCCCCCACCATCTTCCAACCTGCGCGTCGCAGTTATGGACTCTGGTGAACTGCGGGATACATACGAGAACAAAATGGACATTTCATGAAGTCCCTTTTTGTGTCCCTGAATATCGCAATGTTAGGCTGAGGTCACACGGACGTTTAAAATCCTCCAAATTTATACACCCACATTTTCAATAATTCCAATTAGTTCCGTTTATTTCTAACGTATCTTTCTATACTTCTATAATTTAATAATTATTTTTGTTATTTTGAACTTTAAGATAAAAAATCAATCCAAAGATAAAACTTATTCGTATGCAAATGAATAGTTAACGTCAATTATATAGACAAAGTCAAAGTTATTCAATGCACTGAACAAGTATATATATAAATAATTATTTTAATATATTTAATGATAAATATAATATAGCGATAGATACGAAGGTTAATTATAAAATTTACAGAAAAACTTGGAATATTTTGTTAATATTGGAATAAAAATTGCTTGGAAAAAACAAAGTGAAAACTAGAGAAACGGAGAATTTAGCACAGTAGTCCATTTGTACTAACTGCTTGAGTCAAAAGTTGTGGGTAATCGTGGCATTATGAACGAATCGTGGTTCACTGCAAATGTGTAGTGTCAAATTAACCATGTTAAAATATATATTCGGGATTGTAGAAACTAACTGAAAGTAATAGAAAATGGTGTCGATAATAAAAAAGCAACTGTTGAAACATTTGTCCAGGTATTTGTGTGATTCAGTTATTGAATAAGCCTTATCTTTTGTTCGATATGCAATTAAAAATTGCACCACCCTTGGTAAAATTAAAAGCATATTATAAACATTTATATTTAGTTATGATTGATCTTGTTTATCTCGCTAATAAGGATTACTCTTAAGTTACTAATTTCCTTTTGTTCTAATTTGTAACTATTATTTGTATAACAATCCACATATGATCATTTAAGTAAAAACTCCTCCATGTTATTATGTTTGTATTATGTACATTTTGACATGTTATCTAATTTAACATTAAGAAAATAGTTGTGATACTGTATCTTAATTGCAACCTAACTCAATGTTTAACAATGAATTCTTATACATTTATAGGTTTACCAAGAATTTATCAGCTGATAAAATAAATCTGAGTACATTTAAAGGGGAAGGTGAACTAACGAATTTAGAACTTGATGAAATAGTTTTAACAGACTTATTAGAGCTGCCATCGTGGCTTAGGTTAACAAATGCTTGGTGCAATAAAGTTTCTTTTCGTATACAATGGACCAAGCTGAGAAGTGTTCCTATTTTTTTGGTAAATAATATGCACATTTGTATTTATATTTATGTATTCAGATATGTAAATTTGATATTTGGTATCTAACATTTTCAATAGAGTTTGGATGAAGTCCACATAGAAGTGGAAACATGTGAAGATTTAAGAGACTTAACTTCTCCGCAAGGACTATCTTCATACACAGGTCCTGCAAAATATTCTTTTATACATAAAGTAATTGATGGCATAACAGTGACTGTTAATACTGTATCTGTTACATTTAAAAGTCCTGCATTTATTGCTTCAGTTCAGGTATGTAATGTTACTTCATTTGTGTGAAAGATAATAATTATTACAAAATTATAATTTTTGTTATAGATGAATCGTATTGTTGTTGAATCAAAATCTGCAACATGGCAGCGTTGTGATTTAAGAACAACTAGAGTAAAAGATCCTGATCGTGGACAGTTACTTATTTTTAAAGAGCTAGAATGGCAAACAGTTAGAATAGAAGCACAAAGTACTAAGGATAAGAATCTTACACCATTACGTTTACTTACAAATCAAGCAAGATGTCGGATTACTATTAAAAAGAGAATATCAGGTTAAAAATATTTGAATTATGAATGTACGATATAAACTCTCGCTATATTGCCGGTTACCGAGCTGTTTGAGCGGAAAATTCTTGAAATTGGCAATATAGAAAGAGTTCCTTCTACTGTATTGTCTTTTCTTTTAGATTGTTTTGTTATGGGATCAAGACTGATTCTTATATTAGATGACCTTCTATGGGTTTTAACTGATTCACAACTAAAAGCAGCTCTTCATTTTATTGATTCTTTGGGGGGCTTGATAGAAAAAGCTACAATTTTAGAACGTAAAACTAAGGCAGCTAGAAAATTAGAGGTTTGTAAATATTAATATTATTTATGTTTCGTATGTGTTTAATTATACTAAATTATGATATTTGGATTTAAGGTATTGCCAGAATACCAAGCACAAATATCTCAGCAGTCAAGAACAAAAACTCAATGCAATACTGCTATTTCAAAGATATTTACTAGATATGATGTGGTAGAAACATCATATCATTTTCTTTGTCAGAGAATTGATTTACACTTGTGTGATGATGCTGGTAGTAAGTAAATAGAAAACTTCTTATTATTTATTATACAGAATATTTCAATTGTTACCAATACTATTATAATATTATTTATTTTCTATTTAGATGGTAGATCTTCCCACCCTGATTTAAAAGATGGTGGTGCACTGCAAATTTCATTAATTAGATTTCAAATTGATTATTATCCATATCATTTGGCAATGGCTGATAGAAAACATTGGGCCAAATACAAAGAGAATGCTACACCCCACAGCCAATGGTTACAACAATCAGTAACGTCATTTAGAAGTCAGTTTATGGATCTCATTGATTCTGGTAGAACACAGCATTCTCCTTTATCTCGAAGTCAAGGAAATGTAACAGGTTTGTAGTTGAAAGAATGACTAAATAAAAGAACGATCGTAAGGAGATAGAACGGAGCACGCTAGCATTAAATAAAATTTCTTTATATTCAGTTAGTAACACAAAGGGTTCAGGAGAAAATTTAGAAAAAGGCAATCAAGCTCAAAACACAAATGCAACCACTAATGAACAAAAAAAGTCGCAACATCCTAGTGGTAATCCCGTGAAAAATTATATCTTGGAACAGCTTGCCAAATTAATGACAACATGTATTATAATTAGAATTGATGACTTTACCTTGTACAAAGTAACTACCACGTCTCGCAATCCTGTACCGAAAGAATTTGTTACAGGTATGTATAATAATATAATTAAATAAATTTATTTATTTACCAGGTTTGTTTCTTAAATTAAGAGATTTGTATGAAATCCTTGCATAAAACCAATAATTATTTCGTTCAATAATTGCACAGCTCAAACAAGGAAGAAACACGCATCAGGTACAAACTGCTACTAGTTGTAGTGTACTTATATTAATATTGCATTAAAATAACTACTTAAACATTGCTTTGTGTTTGAGAAATTCTGTTGCTTTGCGTGTAATGTTATTACTATTATATATCTACTACACAAGCTAGTATTAATTTAAAACTTGATCTAGAAAATTTTTAATGATAGTTATAAATACATAATGAGTTACTATGTATATAACTAGAGGTGTGCGAAAACTCGATGACTAATTGTGCTATATACAACCATGGTTTTGGATTTTAGATCCCAAAATGTGATTCGGGTTCTCAAAATTCCTGAGAATCTCGATATTTTTCGAGTCTCGAAATATATTTATATCGTTTAAATTAAAGAAAGTAATAACAGCATATTTTAGCTTGTTCTATAAGTTTGGAATATTTAATACAAGTGTGTTTACAAATCATTACATTTCATGTAATTTTGATAAATATATGAAACTTCATTGTCATATAGAACATATTCCTAATGCATGTATGTTATTTAAAAAAGTGTATTCGTGTTATTGTTATGTTTTTTGCTGAAATAATTCTATTTTTCTTAGGTGACAAGGACAGATTATGTCTTCCAGAGGATGTAACAATTCTTCATGCTGAATTTACATATTATTATTATCCCGGAGATATCACGTTTCCATGTAGGTAAACATATAACCATTATTACAATTTGTTAATTATAATTATATTATAGATCTAAATCAATGAGTTAACATATATTTTGTAATTCTTTAGTGCCACCGCCGAAATTTTATGTTCAATTAAATCCTATTCAAGTGAACTTTGATGTTTGTTCCTGTTTGTGGTTTAATTCTTTTGCATTAAATTTATATCATTCTTTAATAAGTAAGGATAATGAAGCAGCGCATACTTCCAATAATTTAATGTACTTTGATGTGAAAATTGAAGCTATACTTCCAAGAGTAAGCAGTGACCTTGTACCATGTTCATATATTTGTAATATTTCATTTTATTGTACTATTCAAAATGTATTTATTATCATTATTAGATAGTTTTTGAAAGTCATCAGGATTATCCTAATCAGAAGGATCGGCCAAAGTCACTGCACATTCAAACTTCAAGAGCATCGATAACAAATGTTCGATCAACAGAAAGGTCTTCGAGAGCGGATTTAGCACAGTGTTTAAATTCTTTCCAAATGGGTCAGATGTTTTTTGGTACAGAATTTCCAAACAAATCGAATGATTTTCAGGTCGTGACAGATAAATTTTTAGCACATTGTGCAGGTAAAAATTGCACACACAAGGTGCTTCTTAATGTGTAGGAAGTGCTACACAAATGGATTCAGAATACAAAAATAATATCTTTGTTTTTTTCAGGTACTGATAATATTCGTTATCCACCACCTAATTTTAGTAGCAATTCTGTAACTGAATTAATTCGGCAATTACACCGAGAACTTTTATGGACAGAAGCTAAAGATGTATGGTGTTGCAACTTAGAGCCCGTTTGGGGAGATTTTCTTGGTGCCCGTGCGGTTGGACAAAATCGCCCGGTACCATTTCTCGATGCATTTCCTTTAACTTTATGGTGCTATATGTCAATGGATTCATCAGATTCGTCAAAAAACAAATTTGCAACTGCTGATATTCATGGTCTTGTGTACATAAGCAATTTAGTTAGCGTTCAGATAAATCATTATCAGTATCTGTTTTTACTAAGATTATCGGAAGTTCTATCAGAGATGGCAACGTATTTGACCATAGATTCAAATAAAATATTAAAAATTGATGCCGGTGGTTCACTTGTTATCGGCGCACTGATACCACAAGTAGAGGTAACTTTTGTGATGCCATCACATACTCCTGGGAAAGAAAATTCTGGAGGAGATTTAGAATCAGTTATGCCAGATTCGTCTAGTATAGCCGATGATATCGCAACTTCATCCACTCCTTGGCAGAATAATACAGATCGAGTTGATTTTAGTAGAAAAAAAACTAACATAAGTACTGATGTATTGACACCACAGAGTGAAGTATCATCAATGTTGTCTATGGATTTGATGCATTCTATTAACCCAACTCAAACTGTTGTAACATTCAAACAGAACGGAACGAATAAACATGATCAACAAATATTAACATATGCAACACATGATAAACAGTATATTGGAATAGAAGAAGAAAGAGTATTACCTACTGTGCGATATGCTGATACTACACATAAACATAGTAAAGGGGATTCTTCTGCAAACACACCGTTTATTCCTAATAATTTCAATGTTGGATTGTCTTCTATGAAAAAAGGATTAAGTAATTTAATGACATCTATTGATTCAGCTTTAAAGGCTTCTCCAGAAGATGGTAGTAGTGATACTGTATCCATAAGAAGCGATGTTAGTTCTGATAGTGAGAATTATGTCTTAATTAGTCTTCAAGATCAAGAGAAAATGGATGCAATGTTTTCTGTTGATAATACACTTAGGGTAACAGCAGTAGAAGAGGCTAGTGAAGTAGTCGAGGAAACTCCCGATACTCAAAGTGAAAAATCCATGGATAGTGTGTGTAAACGAAAAGATATTGTAAGTCTATCATTTATAATGTATAATATAATATAGTTGACAATTTTTACTTCTTTTAATAAAATCACCGTTTTTTCTTCTTAGGTATCTATGGCAACATTCAAATTATCTAAAGTTGAATTCGTTCAACAATCTTGTGGATATGCATCTTCAATTAAAGTTCAAGTTTTAAACATTGGTAACGATGAATGTTCGTCTATTCCATGGGATGAGTTTCAGGTAAAATAAACTTGTATTACTTCCAGTAACAAACATTTGCTAATTACATACAATTATGCTGTTTTTAATCCATTAGATAGATATAAATATTGAGGTTTTAAATATTATTCAAGTCAAAATTGTATTGTTTTTTAGTATTTTTTTTCCTATAATAATTTCATTAGAAAATTTTAAATTTATTTATACACTGTACAGACTGCTTTCTTATTATGCTAAGAATCGACATTTTTAATTGACATAAATTTAATAATTTATAGGAAGCATTGTCTATAAATTTTTATTATAGTTTGTTAAGATATTTCAAATATGAAAACTTCGAAAATATAAAAAAAGTGATGCAGTATATTATTCAATTAACATTTAATTTTCATATACAGTTCTACTTGGAATGTATCAGTGACTGATATTTATTCTTAGTTACATATTTTTATGTGCCACAGAATTAAAAAATTTTTAAGTTCTAGCTTTATATTACATACATTACAAACATCTTATACTATATATGTATATTTATACAATGTTTGTCTTTTAACTTTTTGCATGCTTCTCCTGCGTCTCTCCTTCTCTTGTGAATGTTTTTATGTGGCACTTGTGGCAGGTCAAAAGGAAGGTATAGGCAAAATCTTTATATATTTATTTGTATATATTCGTACATTTATTTATGCTTTGTACTATGTACATTTTATTGCATGTTTATTTATTTATTAGATTATCTTACTATCAAAAATTTTAATATTAATTCTTAGAATTAAATTGCATAAAATGAAGTAATATATATTCCTTCAGTTTATTTCGATGTGATAAGTAGTAGCTTTCTGATTATTTGATTACTAAGTTGCATAGGTAATAAATAGAATTATATTATTCCTATTTCTTTTTTTTATAAACAAACTTCTTTGAAGTATACTTTCAGTTTTATAGTTTCTGAAGCTTTTTAATTTTTAATTTTTGAATACATGTTCTAAAATTGTGATAAGTTCATGTGGCATGGTATAAATATAATGCTTAGCTGGAATGAATTTAGAAAGCTTTCGATTTGCTTAAAATTTTTGCAATTAAAAATATGTATATTAATATATATTTTTGTTAAGATCAAAGCTACTACAACTTTTGTATAAAGTATTGAAAAACCTAAGCAGTTTTTTATGTCTTTGAATAATCTTTTCTTTTGTTAAACTATTAGATATAAATGATATGCAATAAATTTAATTAAATATATAGTGAAAGCAAAATAAAATTTTTAATACCTTTATTAATAGGAGATATTCCATGTAATAACTTTGCATCTAAAATTAGTCTTTTAAATGATATATAATTTTTTTTTTTTGTGTTAATTCTAAATTCATAGATGCATTGAGATTTTATAATTTAAAGAAATAAATCGATTTGTTTTTATAGTATAGCAGTTTAAATATATCAGTAATAGATTTTAAGGAACACCATATGTATTTTCATGTAAATTTATTCTTGAATATTTTTTCTTTGGTAGACAAAATTCAGTGCACGATCTAGAGGGTGGATTGAATTATCTTCAGATTCTAACTGTAGATCACGTATTAAACTACGTTTGGATCATGATTTAAAAAGAAAATCGGATGCTTGGAAGCTGTTTCAAGCTAGTCAAAATATAAGTAACAAGAATACACACTTGCCTCAAAATCAGAATAATATTACTGAACAAGAAGTAGAAACTTGCAATATTGATGTGCATAACAAACAAGGTGTTTTGGATCTTTTTGAAGACAAAGTAGAAGTTAATGTTACCGATGTAACATTAGTCTTGTCAATGAGTTCAATAACTGGGCTTACAGACCTAATTGAAGATGAAATTATACCTAAACCAATACCATTACAGGTGCATAAAATATTATTGTAATAAGCTTGCTATTTGTAATTGAAATTTAAATTTCATGATATTTATTATAGATATACTTAGAGGGTATATCACTGCGCTTAAACGAAGATCGTCCTCCCAATAATATAACTTCTCCAGGACCAATACCCATCGATTTGAATATATCAAAACTAAAGATAATACGAGATGAAAATGGCGTTTTTCATATTGAACCAGTTGGTAAGTAACAGTGTAAAATAATAATTTTATTATTATCTGCCACTTGTAGTTTATATTAATCCTACGTATATATATTACCTGAACAAAGTAAATATAAATTATAGCGAATAACGTAGTATAGTATAAAAGATTATTAAAATATACTTAAGTGGCAAATTTATTTACGACTTTATTAATTTTTTTTTGTAATTAATACTATACTTTATGTAATTGTTTCTGCATTCAGATGGCCTTTCTAATGTGAGCATTAATGACACAATTAGATAATTAGTAGTAGCTTTACTGCTTCAACTATATTGTCTAATGAAACTACATATGATTAGAATCTTAGATGCGCACTTAATTAGGCATGTTTTATTTTTTCAAATTAAAAAGTTTTTGCTTATTATACATGCTTATTGAAATTTTTATAGAGTATGTATAAATTAGCATGAATGAATAATCTACAGAACATAAAATATTCTTATGTTCATATACAAGACTGCTTATTATATTATACATAGTTTAAATAATTAAAAATATTATTAATCCAGAATTAATATTAAATTAAATACAAAATTAGAAGCATATAATTTTTATGCCTTTTATCTATTTTTATTTTATTATATTCCTTTATCATTAATTTAATTAAAATATTCTATTTTTAGTAAACATACTGAACAGAAGTAATTCTCTCATGACAGTATCAGTCAGTGATAATCAAACAGTCCAAAATGTAGATCATGAAGTGGAACTTAACATTCTGAGGCAATCTAGTAAACAGTTAAAAATAGACAATGAAGGACTTCGACGTCGTCTTGATACTTTGGAAAAATTATCTGAAGAAAACGCAAAATTAATGCGTGTAAAAGAAGAATCTGACACAGTAAAATTACATTTAAGTGCAGCACAGGAAGATATACAAATGCTTTTAAGAGAGAAGAAAGCCTTGCAGGAAACAATTACAGAACTTCAAAATCAAATGGTCGGAAGTGGTACCCGTGCATCTTGGTCATCAAAAAGATAGCATACCGGTTGTTTTGATTGTTCTAAATGTTGTAGTTCGTATAAGTCATAATAATAATTTTAATAATTTCATCATAAATGAAAATATATATTGAAATAATTCAGTTGATATACATCAGCGTTTATATTATTTGATTTTTAATTAAATTCTCTGACGCGCTAGAATGCTGAAAGGTTCGTTGATATTCATTTTATGTATTATGTTTATTTTTAACTTATTCATCATTTGATCTACTATAATCATGTGAATTTCTATTCAGATCTGGTTTTATAAAGTACATTTATGCGAAACATACTACATCTTACTATAAACAAGTACAAGGCGATAAATAGCGGCAATAGTAGACAAAGTTTAGTATCTCCATTGATAAAACAAGATAAAATTGACAAAATGAATATTCTGAGTATGTATATGTGTATTTGCGTATGTTTAAAAATGATGTATATACAAATACGTTACAAATGCATAATATATGCATATTTGTTGCATATATAAAAATCAATACGTACATAATATAATTATAGTATGCTAGTCAAAATATTGCAATATATGTTTGGTTTTATAGCAGTGGTTGTTATCTAGTATATGTGGACAAAGAATTGAATATAAATTTTTTACCAATACTTTCGTTTTACATGTCATAAATGTTTTAACGATTTTCATAAGCAACTTCTGATCTAATGGAAAATTGCAGTATATAATGTAATAAATGTGAGATATTAATGGATATTGAATGATGGTTTGCTGGAGCCTACATGTAGATTGTCTAGCTTGAAACTAATTAAAGTAGGAATGTTCGTATTTATATATAATATTTCGATGTTTCATTTCATGATTTTATAAACCATAAACATAGTAAATATTACTTTAATGTGATATACGGTGATAATATAGAATGTCTCGATAAGACTGTTAAATCAACATTATATTATTTCCTGTATTGCCATTAAATATACCGATGGTCATTTACAATTTTATCTTACAAAAAAAATGGATACTACTGAATTATATTAAAGCAAAATTATAATATATTGATCTACTACATATAATGAACGAATCATTTCATTGTAATGCAACATTGTGATATCTTGATGTTTCATCATTTAGTTTCAACTATGGGTTGCTGGTCAATCTTCTTGTTACAAAACAATAAGGTATTTTTATAGCAGGTATTGAAAGTAATGGCAATTAGATTTTTTTGACAATTGAAAATTTGGTTTGTAGATCAGTCTTTTCTACTAAACATTAACATAATTTGCTTAGAAAACAATTAATACACGATATTAGAAAAAAATCCATTTTTATTTGTTATATAAGGTACACAAATTATCTTGATCATTTTCTGTGATATTTTTTAAAATTTAAGGAATTTATTTACTGTAAGATTACATTTATTTCTCGTCATTTTTTAAATTAAAAGTAATTTTTCTTAATTTTGTGAAGTTTGTACTGAACATTTTATATGGATTTTTTATATTAATCATATATACATTTTTTTTCATTTTTATCGAATGATAAAATAATAAATTCAGATCTTGTAGAAAATGGCCAAGATAAATGTATTATTATACGTAATTTATTATGTTACAGAAGTATATAAAATGTATATTATAGTGGAATTGACTGTGTACTTATAAGGATATATAGATGAGTTGCATATTTGAGTATGTGATGGAACAAAATTATGTATTGAAGTTTTAGAGATTTTCTCAAATTTGAACAGTGGTAGATTCTTATAGTGTATCTATTACATGGAATATCCAAACTTTGCTTACAGTGCATTTCAATTGTTTCTTCCTTATTCTTTAAGAGAAGACAATATTTCATTTTATTAAATATTATTGACTATTATGTAGTATTATTATATCTTACAATATAACCAAATGATTTTGTTGATAAGAAAAATTTCAGACGTTTTGTTTTTCTTGATTAATATTATATTATCAAGTTAATATTTATATCACATGTAAGGTGTATGTTTATTCTACATATATGTTATTTGAAAATGCTAAGAAGTTAAAGTTTTGTGACTGACTATAAGTTTATAAGGAAATAAAATTGAAAATATAATCTTAATGATCTTTAAAGTATTTATTTAAAATACTAAGTATGTAACCTTTATTGTGCCTTTCTGTATGAAAAGTATACAATGTAATTATGTTTGAATAATATGTGTTAATTATATGAAAAATGTATATCATTTTATTATAGTTATTGTGATACTTCATTCTGTTGAATATAAAGATGATTGAAACTGTATTTTCCAAATTTCATTATAAGGAAAAAATTACTTTGAAGTTTATTATTTTCAATTTACAATTTTGGATGTTTTTGTTATATTATTTACATATGCAGGTACTTAGAGTATAATTATATCATCCTATGCCCCTATATCTAATAGAAGCATCGTAAATGATATTTGAATAGTTGTGTAAATTTGATACAGCTTAAAGGAATTATGTTTGTTAAGTTCCTTTAACTGTTTTTTATATTTTTTTTTTAATGTATATTATAACCAATGTATTGTGATTTATACAAATTTATTATAAAAATGAAAGTGTAAATAACTTAATAAAGTTCAATTTAAATAATCATCTCTATTTAATATAATAATTAAACTTAATGTACAGTAAAGTAGAATTAGAATTGATATATTCTTATTTTTGCAATAAAATCAGAATTTATTTACAAATTTATATTTATTTTTATTAATGTAAATACATATTAGAAATTTTTATTAATAATAAATAAGTGACTACAACTGATTGTAAATTGAAGCACCCGCATACATGATCATATAACCTTTTTTTTTAATTACAATTGTTATAATTTTTATTACAATTATAAAGTATTATAATTGTTTGACAAACTTGTATTTACTTTATACACTTTGGTAATAAATCATTTGAAAAAAGTAACTGCTATTATTTAATTCACGCAATTTTATTTCTGAGTTATTTATTTAATACTCGTAATTTCTTTTCTCAGCTATTTATTTAATTGACTTAATTTCTTCTATTATTGTGGTTATTTCAATGTACTTAATTTCGTTCCGGGGCCCCCGACACCCCGGATGCCATAATGTCGGTATGCAGAGTGTCATCGATGTTCAGGGGTCCCAGACACCCCAGAGCCATATCGGTATGAAGAATGTCGCCGGTGCTTCGGGGTCCCAGGTACCCCGAATGCCATGTCGGTATGCAGTATTTCCGATACGTCGGGGTCTCTGACACCCCAAGATGATAGCAGGTCAGTATACAGACAACACCAGCGCTGTGTAGGGATCCCTGACACCCCGGATGCCATAATGTCGGTAAGCAAAGAGCGTAAGTAGTTCTTGGGGTTCCTGACACCCCAAGATGTTGTCATGCTGGTATGCAGAGACAGTCACTGGTGCTTCGGGGTCCCAGACACCCCTGGATCAAACCAGGTCATACCCATCACTCTCCTGAACAAATGAGTTTCACGATTTGTTCGTTTTGCGTTCTTATATTTCGCTAGATCCAGTCAAACCCATCACTACCCCGAACAAGTGAGTTTCACGATTTGTTCGTTTTTAGGTCTTATATTTCGCTAGATTCGGTCAAACCCATCACTATTCCGAACAAGTGAGTTTCGCTATTTGTTCGTTTTTCGTTCTTATATTTCGTTACTTCCTTGGGGTCCTTGACACCCCAGATGCCATAATGTCAGTATGCAGAATCATCGGAGATTTGGGGTTCTTAGAACCCCAAGACAGTATAATTTAGGTATACAGAATCGTCGGTGCTCGGGGTTCTTAGAACCCCTAAGACAATCTACTTTAGGTATACAGAATCGTCGGTGCGCGGGGTTCTTAGAACCCCAAGACAGTATAATTTAGATATGCAGAATCGTCGGTGCTTGGGGTCTTTCGAACCCCGAGATAATATAATTTAGGTACTCAGGATCGACGGTACACGGGGTTCTCAGAACCCCAAGACAGTATAATTTAGATATGCAGAATCGTCGGTGCTTGGGGTCTTTAGAACCCCAAGATAATATAATTTAGGCACACAGGATCGTCGGTACACGGGGTTCTTAGAACCCCAAGACAGTATAATTTAGATATGCAGAATCGTCGGTGCTTGGGGTCTTTCGAACCCCGAGATAATATAATTTAGGTACTCAGGATCGACGGTACACGGGGTTCTCAGAACCCCAAGACAGTATAATTTAGATATGCAGAATCGCCGGTGCTTGGGGTCTTTAGAACCCCAAGATAATATAATTTAGGCACACAGGATCGTCGGTACACGGGGTTCTTAGAACTCCAAGACAGAATAATTTAGATATGCACAATCGTAGGTGCTAGGGGTCTTTAGAACCCCGAGAAATTACAATTTAGGTATACAAGATCGTCGGTACTCGGGGTTCTTAGAACCCCAAGACAGTATAATTTTAGTATTCAGGATCCATGGTTCTTCGGGGTCCTTAGAACCCCGCGGCGATAAGGAATGAAGCTAGCCGGAAGGAATAATAAAATATGATTATTTTTAGTTTTTTTTAGTGTATTTCGTTTGTAAATCATTTGTGATTGATTGTGGGTCTATTTTTAACATTTGTGACAAATTAATTCTTTTGTAATTAGCAATTTTATTTAAATCATGATGTGAGCCGAAACATTTTAATAATTTTTTATAATAAACAGATTTTGTGACAACTAATAACTGTAATTGATTGGAAATCGTTCGTGATTTACAGATTTATCATTTTCATTGTCTGTGAGTGAATAACTTCTTAATTATTTACAAATTTGTTTTATAATAAATAATTGTAGTTCCTTAATACCCCGATATGATATCAGGTCCGTATGAAGAGGGCACAATAAGTATAATTTGTTTCCAGGGTTTATTTAATTTACTTCATTTATCTTTTTTTGCTTATTAAATAACCTCATCGAAGGGGAATAACATTTATGGTTACATCCCTCTTCTGGGTCTCAGTCGAGGACCGCATTTATTTTATTTTCAGTTGTTTATATAATTTTATCCCTCATTATAGGCCAAGGCCATCTCAGTATCACTTACATCACAGCATTCCTTACATCCCTGCATTTGTTACATTCCTGCAACCCTTAAATACGCTTTTGTTTTTTTTTTTTTTTTTTTTTTTAACGTGGTGGAAATCTTCAGAAAGACACCTTCAGCCCCCCTGGGGAGGGGCCGGAGGTAGTGTGGGATTTTTACCCACTAAAACCACCACGGTGGCCTGCACTAAGGCGGTAGGGAGGGTACTTAGACCCTTCGCCATGTGCCAAACTCCGCCGACATCGGGGGCCACACCCCCGTGCCGGCATTCCTCGGGTCGCGTGCAGTGGAGACCGGGGCCCCAGCCCCGGACCCCTGCGGAATTCCTTTACATCCCTCGTTTCGTTACATCTCTGCATCCCTTACATCCCTGCATTCTTTTCATCCGTACACCCCTTTTATTCCTACATTGTTTTCATCTCTACATTCCTTACATCTCTGCATCCCTTACATCCCTGCATTCATTTTATCCCTACATTCTTTTCATCCCTACACCCTTTTCATCCCTACATTCTTTTCATCCTTACACCCTTTTCATCCCTACATTCCTTACATCTCTGCATCCCTTACATCCCTGCATTCTTTTTATCCAAACATTAGTTTCATCCCTACACCCTTTTCATCCCTACATTGTTTTCATCCCTACATTCCTTACATCCCTACATTCTTTTCATCCCTACACCCTTTTCATCCCTACACCCTTTTCATCCCTACACCCTTTTCATCCCTACACCCTTTTCATCCCTACATTCCTTAC